TGGCTGCTACAAGAGCATTAGACTGGTCTTAAGTAACTGGTCCTCCTCAGCCCCTTGAGGACCAAGCACGGACTCCTTTAAAAGAGTCCCCTGGATAAGGCTCAGAATTTTCAAAATTAGTTCACCTCTGTAGTGTTTCACAGCCTGGCCTCTCTGCTTCATGGGCTCTTCATTGATGATCTGAACTGTCTTCAGTGCAGGCTTACCTCCCACCTGGGACATTTATACTGACTGACTCTCCTGCTCACTTTTGAACTGTGCCCCTGTTTCTTTGCTATTTTTACCATCCCTTGATGAAGACAGAACTGCAGCAGACCACTTTAAACATGGCTTACCCTTAAACATGCTAACACTCACACAAGTGAAGTGAACTTTTAATAATTCCTTTGAGCTGTTTTATCTTATTTCAACTCCATCTAGGATGTTCAACAAGGTAACTGTTAGGTGACCTTAACTGTTAGCACATGCACATAAAAGGCATTTCATTTTTCTTTTCTTTATTTTATTTTCTCTTGTTTAAAGGAAAAGTTGATATCAAGATGCACCACATTAATGTAATTGTTGTTTCAAATCAGCAAAGAAATCTTTAAATCAGTGTCATTTTTTAAGCCTTAAAATAAACTGTCTCTGAATTTGGACAGATTATTTCTGGCACTTTGCAGATGGATAGCCTCATGGCATTACTGAATGTATGCATTAGAACATAATTAGGTGCATATAAAGATAGGTTCAGCTCTTTCTAAATGAGTTAACCAGTTTTAGTTGACTTCAATAAAATATCAGGGCTCTTCAAAAACTTCATGGGAATTATGGATTATGAAAAAAGCTCTTTGGTTTGAAGCAATTTCACCAAAATAAACTTGTACTGACTTGTTATAACATATATGAACAGGATCTAGTTTTAGGCACTAAATAAGGAAAAGATAGCCATTTGAAAAGCAACATGAAATCAACTAAAATTGAAGCAAGAACAAACATCAAATGTATAGTTAAGTTTTGGTAGAGCAATGCTGAAATCACTGATGTTCTACATAAAACATTAAGGTACATTATCCCAAAGAAGTCGGCAATTAAAAATTGGATAACTCATTTTAGGAACGGGCATGATGATTATGAAGATGAAGGAGAACATCAACATCAATTTAAAGGGAGAAAAATCATCTTGTTCATGTCCTAATTGGAGAAGGATGACTATTTATAGCAGAAACAGAAGCTAACACCATAGACATTTCCACTGGTTCAGCTTACATAGTTCTTAGAAAAATTAAATTTGAGTAAACTTTCTACTCAGGGGATATCAAAATTGTTGCACCCAGATCAGCTGCAAACAAGAGCAGATCTTTCCATGGAAGCTTAAAATAAACGGGATCAAGTTCTTGAAGCATCTCCTGGAAGAACTGAACAGGAGACAAAGCTTCACTTTATCAGTACGATCCCGAAGACAATGTACAACCAAAGCAATGGCTACCAAGAGCGAGAAGCGCTCCCGTGAAAGCACAAGGGGACAGGTCAAATGCAAGGGTCATGGCAAAAGTTGTTAGCATGCTGAAAACGTTTTTGCTTGTTAGATTTCTGGAGGGCCAAAAAATAACATCTGCCTGAAAGAATGTTGAGGAAGTTATCTAAAGCTTTAGAAGAAACATGTTTAGAAACGCTTCATCAGACTGTTCTTCTCCACCCTGAAAATGTCCCCCGCTCGTTCCTCACATCAGTCCAGGGCAATTTGGCAAGAGTTTCCGTGGGAAATCTTTAGGCACCCACCTTACAGTCCTGATTGGGCTCTTGTGACTTCTTTTTGTTTCCTAATCTTAAAAAAAAAAACCTTTAAACAGTAACTTTAGGGACCTCCTTTCTTCAGGGATAGACTGAATGACTGGTATCATCACTTACAAAAGTGTCTGGACTTTGACGGAGCTTGTGTTGAGAAATAAAGATGATCTTTTAATTCCATTTTCCTTTTGAAGACCCCTTATATAAGAAAACATTGACATCTTTTGTTTCGTTGGCTTAGATTGATTATAAATAAATTTGTACCCCAGTGGAGTGTCTTTTTAAAAAAAAATCATTTTATTAGGGGCCCATACAACTCATCACAATCCATACACACATCAATTGTGTAAAGCACATTTGTACATTCATTGCCCTCATCATTCTCAAAACATTTTCTCTCCACTTAAACCACCAGCATTAGGTCCTCATTTTCCCCCTCCCTCCCCGCTCCCCCGTCCCTCATGAGCCCTTGATAATTTATAAATTATTATTTTGTCATATCTTGCCCTGTCTGACGTCTCCCTTCATCCACTTTTCGGTTGTCTGTCCCCCAGGGAGGAGGTCACACATAGTTCCATGTAATCGGTTCCCTCTTGCCTACCCATTCTCCCTCTACCCTCCCTGTTTCTTTCTGTTATATTCAGCCTATCAAATTATCAAAGCATTCCTATTGTCCATTCACATTCTGAAGGGAATGGATCTTCTTTATATTGTACTTTGTTTTCATTGGTAATCAAGTGCTTTCTTTTAGCATCATTAGATTATTACCCTGCATGATTGACTTTGAAGAGGCAGGACTCATGTGCTCTTTGGTAATTCCAGGTAAAATTAGGATACTTTCTTAAATGAATTATAAAATGTAACTGAATGAAAAAATAATCAGCTGCTTCTCAGGCTTTCTTCCTGCACCCTACGGTGTTTATTCCTGGTTCTCTCTGCTCTATAGGATGGTAGAGATTGCTGGGTCTTCGGGGCTGTGGCCTTTCTTCTGTTTTAGCCTTCTCACAGCTCTTCTTATCTAGTCTTCTGCCTTTAAGCACTTTCTCGATGTTTATGAGCCCTGCATGTGTATTTCAAAGATTCATCTCTTCAAGTGAACATATGATACACATAAACATATTGGGTACTATTTAAACTCATGCTGTTGTTAGGGGCCATGGAATCAATTACGCACGAGGTCACTGTTGCAGCCACTACATCAATCCACCATGTCAAGGACAGGTTTTCCTCTTTTCTGCTGCTCTCTACTTTACAGTAATGATGTCCTTTTCCAGGGACTGGTATTTCCTGACAACATGTCCAAAATCTGTAAGACAAATTCTTGCTATCCTTGCTTTGAAGGAGCACTCTGGCCACATTTTATTAAGACTCGTTTGCACTTTTGACAGTCCATGATACTTTAATATTTTTCTCCTTTACCAGTCCAAACACAATGATTCTTCTTCAGCCTTCCTTATTGAATCTCCAACTTTGACACGTATATGGGGCAATTGAAAATACCATAGCTTGGGTGGGACACACCTTAGCCTTCAGAGTTACCTCCCTGCTTTTCGACACTTTAAACAGGTTTTAAGCAACTGATTTACCGAACGCAACTTGTCTTGACTGCTGTTTTCATGAATATAGATTACGGATCCAAGCAAGACAAATTCCTTGACAATTTTAATCTTTTCCCTTTTATCATGTTGTGACCTATTGGTCCGGTTGTGAGGATTTTTGTTTTCTTTACATTGAGCTGTAATCCATGCTGCAGATGGATTCATAGCAAGTGCTTTAAGTCCGTCTCACTTTCTGTAAGCAAGCTTGTGCCATCCCATCACAGGTTGCTAATAAGACTTCCTCCTATCCACATGCTGCATTCTTCTTCGTATAATCCAGCTTCGCTGATTATTTGCCCACATACAAATCGAATCTGTATGGTGCGAGGATACAACCCTGGTGCACAGTTTTCCTGATTTTAAACCATGCAGTATTCAGTAGGAGCATGGTGAAGTGTTCAGGAATTCCAATTCTTGAAAGGTGATCCATAGTTTGTTATGATCTACACCGTCCAATGCCTTTCAATGCAGAGCAACCTTTATAAGGTTTCTGAGACTAAATCCTTACTGGTACATATAGCTTCAATTTCTCCTGAACAGATTGCTTAGTAGGTTTGAATCACCAGCCTTTCAGTGAGCAGTCTGATACATGCCCGGCACCAGGGCTGATTTGTAATAGACTTCTAAAATACCTCAATAAAACTCTTTTTTGTTTCCCAATTGAAATTTCTGTAGTATTGCCTCCTATCCCCAAATCATCTCAATCTCAGGAAAAGACACCTCCATCTGCCCAGATGTTCAACAGACACTTTAAAAGGTGTCCTTCAATGCTCTCTTCCTTTCAGCCCCTCCATCCAGCCCTTCTGAACTACTAGCGACTCAATCACTTCTAAATATAGCAGGCCATTTTAACTTGTCAATCTTTACAACTACTCCTTTGTTAATAAAAGCATCTCTTTTCGTCATGATTATACTACAGGAACCTTGTGTCTGATCACCCCCCCTCACCTTTTTTCCCCCAGGGTGTCTTCCATTTATTTTTAGTAATACAATTTTTCCTGTCTCTTACATGATTGGACACAAATTTTAATTTAAAAATTAACAGTCACAACTGAAGAAACAAGAGTTGATTTTTCTAATCAGTTGACCAAGCTGCGAATCTTAAGGCCTCGACAAGTGTTGTATCATAATATTTCCATTGCACAAGACCTGCTATTAGATGATTCCTGGTCCATGGCAGTGGCTTCTCCAGTGGTTCCCCTTTGCCAGACAGGGGGGCACGTTGACGTTTGCTCTCAAGGCATTCTATCAAATGAATCCTCATTCCAGGGCAACATCCCACCCCAAGTCCATCCATCTCCAGCGTGGTTGGCTAAGGAGTCCTGCTTTGGCTGCTAGAGCTTCATTCTGCTGAATATGATATTCCTGAAATCTCATGGATATTCTTAGTGCCATTTAAAAATATTTCTGTAAGCAATGCTCTTCACACATCATATCTTCAGGTTCCACTTCTCTTGTTGTGAAATCTTTAACACAGTCTCCATAGCAGGTTTCTGTAAGCTTATTGTAGGTTCCAAGAAATTCCTTAAACTGTTTTATCTGATCAGATTCTGGTATTTGCACAGCCATATTCTCTCGGTATGTCGAAGTCATACCGATGCATGAGTTTCATTTCTGTTTTGGGATAACAGTTGCTCAACCTTTTCTTGAGTGACCCCAGCCAGTCTGAGTTCTTACGCACAGGTTCCTACATCTGATACCAATAGAGTCCACAGGGACTCCGCTGCCAGTAGTTTGTGGGTGGAGGAGGGGCAGGGTTCATTGTAAACGCAGCAGCCGCAGGATAGGAGAGAACCGGTCCATTTATAATAAACGTCCTTCCTCCAACTTTTCTAAATATCTATCTTTTAATATTTTTGTGGAAAAGATGAAAATATATTAAGAATTAGACCCCAGATGCTGTATCTTTTGATAGCCGGGCACCCATCTAGGTCAGAAGCAACAAAGCCCACATGGAAGAAGCACACCAGCCTGTGTGATCACAAGGTGCCAAAGGGATCAGGTATCAGGCATCAAAGAACAAAAAATCATATCATTGTGTGCTCACCTCCAATACGGTCACTGAAGACAAATGGGTGCATAAGCAAATGTGGTGAAGAAAGCTGATGGTGCCCGGCTATCAAAAGATATAGTGTCTGGGGTCTTAAAGGCTTGAAGGTAAACAAGCAGCCATCTATCTCGGAAGCAACAAAGCCCACATGGAAGAAGCACACCAGGTGTTGAAGGGATCAGGTATCAGGCATAATCAGAACAAAAAATCTTACCATAGTGAATGAGGGGGGCAGTGTGGAATGGAGACCCAAAGCCCATTTGTAGGCCATTGGAGATCTCCTTGCAGAGGGGTCTTGGGGAGGAGATGAGCCAGCCAGGGTGTGATGTAGCTATGATGAAAAATACAACTTTCCTCTAGTTCCTAAATGCTTCCTCCACCACCACCACCCCCCACCACCCCCACTATCATGATCCAAATTCTACCTTGCTAGTCTGGCTAGACCAGAGCATGTACACTGGTGCAGATAGGAACTGGAAACACAACAGGGATCCAGGGCAGATGATCCCTTCAGGACCAGTGGTGGGAGTGGTGATACTGAGAGCGTAGAGGAAGAGTGGGTTGGAAAAGGGGAACCGATTACAAGGATCTACATGTGACCTCCTCCTTGGGGGACTGACAACAGAAAAGTGGGTGAAGGGAGATGTCAGACAGGGTAAGATATGACAAAATAATAATTTATAAATTATTAAGGGCTCATGAGGGAGGGGGGAGCGGGCACAGAGGGGAATAAAATGAGGAGCTGATGCCAGGGGCTTAAGTGGAGAGCAAACGTTTTGAGAATGATGAAGGCAATGAATGTACAAATGTGCTTTACACAATTGATGTATGTATGGATTGTGATAAGAGTTGTATGAGCCTCTAATAAAATGATTAAAAAAAAGAATGTTCTTCACACTGAATTATTTTCTTTGCATATCCGATTGCATGGCATCTTTTAACAACTTCTTCTGATTCATATGCTTCCTGAAAATTATTAGTTAAATTAGGAGCTATGTAAGAGCTAGGTCTTATATATGTGGCAGGATCAATGTATGGTTGGCATTTGTATTTCTGAGTGCAACACAAGACTCTTATGCCTTGGCTTTTTTCTTTTTGAGATGTTAAAACTTGTCAGCTGACATCTCACTCACTCATAAAAATGTTCCACAGCAACAACTTAATTGCTAGTTTTCAGCTATTGTTGATGCTCTTTGCCTACATCCATTATTTCATTAAGGTTTGTAAGATAGAAATATTACAATTAAACTCACTTTCTTCTGTATATGCATTATAGTCTATAAGTATAAAATAACTATCATCTTCTAGTTGTTAAAAGCAATAGAATCTGTACTAGAAATGTAGGATAACTGGGAAATCTTTCCCATTGTTTATAAATTTTTACCTACAAGGTGACAGATGTGAGGGAGTGCCAAAAAGTTCATGGAAAAATCTCTCATCTGGTGTACATTATCATGAAAGCATACATTTGAATGTGTTTCAAATATTTATTCATTGCATTGTTATTATTGTTCAAATTATCTCTTTTGTGGGCAACTTAGCTGATTCTATTTAACACTTACTCATGGTTAATCTGGTCCTAATGCTTTCTAATTTTCTGGTATTATAAGATTAGTGTAATATTCTTGCTTATTTCTTGCTCTTGTTCTTTTTAGTGGACAGTTGTACTTGAACACCTTAATTTAAATCTTTAATTTAAGTGCTCAATGGCTAGGGATTCTAGAATTTTTCATTAAACAGGTTGGAAAAAAAATGTTGATAAAATATTCCTTGAGTTCATGTAGAGATTTCTAATGCAATATTCATTTAATTTCTTTAGTTTTATATTTGTACCTCTTTTCTTTTTAAGTAAAAATTTCAATATGCTCAATATACATGCTCTTCTGCTAATTTTTATGTGTATGCATATATGAGTTATATGAAAAACAAACAAACAAATAATGAAATCAGTGCTGACTCATAGCAAGCCCCTGTGGGTTTCTGAGACTGTAACTGTTTGAGCAGACAGCCCAGTCTTTCTCCTGAGGAGCTACTCTTGGTTTCAAACTATTGATCATACAGCTCACAGTCCGACACATAACCACTACCCCACCAGCGCTCCTTATAGATGAGCTTCGCAACCCGAAATGAACTGCCTCTACTGAAGGCAAACCAAATCCATTATTGTTGAGTCTGTTCCAGCTCATGACAACCCTGAAGACAGAGTTGAACTCGTGGTGTCTCCAAGGGTATATAATCTTTATGGGAGTAGATGGCTAAATCTATCTTCCGCTCAGTGGCTAGTCGAATTAAGGCCACCTTTTCAGTTAGCCAGTAAATGCTTTAACAACTAAGGCATCAGGGATTGCACACATAAAGATGCATTTTATCAAATCACATGCTACTGAAAACATTTAAAATACATACTTGTTTTATGCTTGTTCTTAGGCTGAGATGTACAAATGACTATATTTTGTTTGTTTTATTAATAACTTAACATAATGCCTCGGAATATGGTTGAGCTACTACTAAGTAATTCAAATCATTCATTTCATTTTGCTTCCTATTCTTAAAATTTCATTCTTTTTAAATGTAATTTAATTCTGTAATCATAAAAACATTTGCATAGCTCCAAAATCAGAACATTGTAAGATGCAATCAGATAAGGTTCCCTTCTCTGCCAATCCCCTTGTGCTAGTCTGGGGAGGCTAGAGAAACAAATTCATAAACACACATATGTAGATAACGGAGAGGTTTATATACAAGAGCAAATGAACATTGAGAAAACATCCCAACCCAGTCCAGTCCAAGGCCATAAGTCTGATATTAGCCCATATGTCCAATATCAATCTATAAAGTCCTCTTCAGACTCACGAAACACACGCAATGAAGCCAAATGCAGGATGATCACAAGCCAGTGGGTAGAAAGTCTTTGGGTCCAGTGGCGTTGTAAGCATCTCAGTGCTGGCAGGGGTCTCTCTATGGCTTCTCCAGCTTCCGAGGTCTGGTTGAGTCCATGTGGCTTGTCTTCTGCAATGTCTCCCAGGGAATGGCAGAGAGAGAGAGGCGTCTTCCACCTCCAAGGAGGAAGTCCCAGATTTCCCAGAATTCTCAGGAGAAAGTCATGTCCACACAGATGTCTCATTGGCTGTCTCCAGATTGACAGCCTAGACACCACCCCTACACTCCTAATCCTTAAATTGAAACCAGATTAGGTGACTAACACACCCCTTTTACCTTATTCCCTCTTTCAGCTCATAGTAACTTTATGTTGGAATGAATAGAATGACAAATGGAGTGAAACCTTGTTTAGTCCTTGTCATCCTTGCAATCACCAGCATGTCAGAGGTCATTATTGTGGCTACTGTCCCAAACCATCTCAATTTCTGGTCTCTACTTCACCAAACACAATGTCCTTGTCCAGGGGAAAATTAACCCTGATGGTGTGCCCAAAGCAAGTCAGTCAGAGAATATTCTGTTGTGACCCAAAATGCTTTCCATTGGATGAGTTTCTGAAGTATCTCTTTGGTCCTTTTTCCCTTTTCTGGCTTAGTTTGGAAGACTAAGCTGTCTCTGCAAGCAGCAATTCTTACTTCTTCTGCCTCACTGTATACCACTCTGTCCTGGATAGCTACATTACACCTTCACTGAAGTCTTTTTCGTTTCACACCCACCTTCACTCCTGTTTTGTTTATAGCTTTACATTTTCTATTCCCACCTGAGAATACTTTCTAGGCACCTATCTTCATAGCTGACATCTTTTAATCCTTCAGATAAGGGTAATTCAAGGGCTTCTGGCTCATCAATAGCTGCTTTAGGAGCTCTAGCTAAAGTGACACCATTAGTGACTCCTTACCTGGTCACCCTGTGTGTTTTCTTCACAACATTAGTGCAACAATTAGTAGTGATACATATCATATCATTTTATGTTATCATTATACTATAGCACATCATGTTATTTGATTTGTTCACTTCCTTGCTCTTCTTTTTGACCATTGGCTCTTTCATATTATGTATGGCACCTAGTACGAGCTGAAATAATTTGCTGAATGAAGATTGACTGAATTGATTTATATCGAACAAAATATATTATTGTAGGGAATATTTGTGAAGCTTTAACACATTAAGAACCCAAATAAGTATCAACCTGATTTTTTTTTGTACATTACCATGTTAGTGTGTTAGCTGCTGTGTTAGTTTGGGTTGACTACAGAAACAAATACATAGACACTCATATGTGTATAAGAAAGAGGTTTTTATACAAGAGCAATTGAATAATGAGAAAACATCTCAGCCCAGTCCAGATCAAGTCCATAAGTGCAATATTAGCCCATATGTCCAATACCAATCTCTAAATTCCTCTTTGGACTCATGAAACATATGCAATGATGTTGAATGCAGGAAGATTACAGGCCAGTGGGTGGAAAGTCTTGTGGATCCAGTGGCAGTAGAAGCATCTCAGGACTGTCAGGGGTCTCCCCATGGCTCCTTCAGCTCCAGAGCTCTGGCTGCATCAGCTTAGCTCCATCAGGTTCATCAT